CACAGTGCCTTGTTCTTGTTTATTGAGTAAACCAATGAATGGCCCCTGGAGATGTTTAAGCAGATGTTGGATGACTACCAATGAGGATGTAGTCCAGGGAATTTCTGCACTGAATCAGAAGCTGGAAATATATCTCTAAGTGCTCTTTTAGTTTTGAGGTTCTGTCAGGCCATACATATAAGCCTGTGTTTGTTCTGTTTCTTTCCCTAGTTCTATAAATACACAGTGGTAAGTTGCAAAGGGGGGGGAATCCCCAAATTACAAAGTACCTACTGTGTGCCAGACTCTGTACAAGGCATTTTATACATCTGAGCTCATATAATTAATCATCACAATAATTTTTCCAGATAGGAGTTATCCGCATTTTTCAGATGAGGGCTTGGAGACATGAGGTGTTTTGCTCCAAGTCACATGTTTAGGAAGTATGACAAATTAAGTCTTGGAGATTAAAGCCTGTGTGATTGCCACAACACCCTGCTTCTACCAGTTTGGGGGATTTCCACATTTTCAGCAATGCAAAGAAGGAATTGAGGACTGGGGGAAAAAGGGAAAAGGCACAGTTTCTAAATTTAAGTTTGGGAGATTCTGGGCTCCAAGCTGGGAAGAAAAATCCACTTTAGTGAGAGTTGGAACAGGACATTTCTGCTCTCACCTGATTATCGACAGACCCAGAGAAAGAAAAAATATATGAAGGACCAGGACAGGGGGATCTGGAGATGGGTATTAAGCACTGGAATCTCTTGTCATAGGTATGGTGTTGGGAGCATGGGGCATAAAGGTGGGTCTAGAATGCAGTTACAGGAATTCCAGGTATTTATCTTCCTCCTAGAAGAGATGTTGGGGATATAGGGATGTCCAGGCTGTGGGGATCCTAATCAGTGGCAGGGTTTAGATAAGTATTGTGCAGTAGAGATTTAATATAAGTCACATAAAAATTTCTTGTAACCATATGTTTTTTAAAAAAAAGTAAAAAGAACCAGGTGAAGCTAATTTTCATAATATATTTAATTTTATCCAATATATCCAAAATATTATAATTTTAACGTGTAATCAATACAAAGTTATTATAAATTCCTTTTTTTGTACTAAGTCTTTGAAACATATTATGCAGTTTGCATGTACAACATCTTAATTTATTCTAGCCACATTTCAAATGTTTCATAATTGCCTGTAGCTAGTGGCTACTATAGTGGACAGTGAAGGCTTATAGTGTGCTTCATACCTGGCTAATCAGAGACAGCAGGATCTCTGATGTTGGACCCAAACATCTTGGCTTCTGTCCTTGATTTTTCTTTTCTTTTTTCATGATTTTTTTTGTTCTACACCTTTAAAAAAATTATTGACTTTAGAGAAGGTGGAGAGAGAGAGAGAGTGAGAGAGAGATTTGTTGTTCCATTTTTTGATGCATTTATTGGTTGATTCTTGTATGTGCCCTGACCGGGGATCAAACTACAATGCTCTCACCAACTGCCTAACTCAGATACCTGGCCAGGGCCACCCTTGGTTTTTCTTACACCTTAAATTAGAAGTCCTTGTTTTAGTGTGAGTCTGGAGACATACTCCTAATTCCACAGGTCAGAATTGTGTTTCTATTTCAGGCTCTGGGAAGTCTAGCTGCACGATAACTTTCGCCTCCAATGCTTTCCTTTATGCTTCTTGCTGAGCCACCGGGTGCCTCCTGGCTGCTAATCCAATGATTTTCAGGAGTCATTTCCCTGGCCTCTTGCCACATGTGCTGCTGCTAATACCACTCCTTGACTCACCTCTCCTGAATTCCTTCCTAACTCTCTGGCTGATCCTTCTGTCTTTTCCATTACTCTGCATTCTCCATGCTTCCCTTCCATGTTGATGGCCTCCTAAGTGCTGCCCTTGGCCCTCTTACACTCTTACTCTACATGGGGGAGACCTAGGTAATCTTTCTTCACTCTCATCACCTTTACTTTCAAGTATCTTAAGTCTCTATTTCTATTCCAAACTCTCTTGTGCCATGGACTTAAAATACCTATCCAACTGCCTACTGGATCTCTCTCTCCTTTGGAAGATCTCAAACACATTGAGAATTCAACAGGACAAAGTTCTAGAGTCATATTTTAGTTCAATGTATTCTTCCATTTGTATTATTTATTTGATGAATGGTATCACTGGTTATCTGGTCATTGAAACCAGAAAACGGGGATCAACTCAGCTCCTTTTGTTCACTTCCCATATCTAATTATCACCAAGTCCCATTAATTCTGCATCCTAAACAATTCTGCCTCTTTTTCCTTTTGACACAGCTTAACTTCAGTGCTCATCATTTTTTTTCCTGGGGTTATTACAGTGGGTTCCAAACTGATTTCTCTGGAATTTCATGATCTGCCAATAGAGTATAAGCTCCATGCAGGCAAGCATTCCTGTTTCCCAGTGCCTAGAACTATACCTGGCACATAGTGAATACTCAATGAATACTTGTTGAGTGAATGTATGAGTAAACGTCTGTTAGTCTGTCTTTCCAGTCTCACTTCACACACTGTGTATGATGCTTACTCTGCAGCCCTGCTTGAGTGTTTAGATTTCTGAGCAAGTTATGCTTTTGCTCATTTTGTTCCTTTTGTCTGCACATGCTTGGCTTACAACTACTTATTCTTTATTGTTCAGCTCCCATATTGTGACCCATGGGAAACTTTGCAACTTGTAAACATGATGTAGTATGTTTTTACAAAGTGCTTTCTGTGGTATCTTAGAGGATAACTGAAGGAAGTCAAGTAGGACTTCATGGAGGAGGTGCACTTCGAGCTGAGGGAAAAGAACATGTTCAGAGGCATGCCAAAGCAGCACCTATTTCTGTGGAATGGTTCTGTAAAACTGGAGTCCAGGGTTCCTTAGGATAGGATGGGAAACGGAAAGTGGGACCAGCTAATGCAGACCCTGACTGGCACACTCAACAGTCTGTTCTTCATATTCCTATAGGTAACAGGCAGCCATTGAGGTTCTGTAACAAGGGAATGATGTTTGGATTCACTCATCTCCTACCAAATATTGACACCCATGTTCCTTTTTGCTGCTTTGTGGTCTGACTTTTCCTCTCACAACAGGCTCTCAAGCCCATTCAGGTCCATCAACTTCTGCATGGATGTTGGGAAGCGGGAAAGATGATTAATTACAGAAGGGAAATGAGTAGAAAGACTGAGTTGCTGAATACCACACAGCAAGTAGGAAAAAGAACTCAAATTGGAACCCAGGTATCTTCCCTCCCTGCCCAATGCAGTCAATTACCCTTCCCTGAGCTCTGTGTGTCAGTGGCCAGTCTGGATTCCGGGGTAGGCAAGAGACATGGCTCTAAACTTCTGCGAAACTCCCAGCCTGAAGGTGCAGATTGCACATCAGGAGACATGGAAAAGACAGAGAAAGGAGCAGCTGGGGCTTTAAATATCTGGGTGGAGGGGTCTGATGAGGAACTGGGACAGGGCTTCATGGAGGAGAGAAGCATGGAGAAGGTTTAGGTAGGTGAGGCAGAACTGGGCTGGGGAGAAGGAAAGGGGGTGAGAATAGCCCATGTCGAGTTTTGGAGGTGGGAAAGAATGAAATCTAGGCTGCGGTCTTCCTCAGCACTTTTAGTTTGGCAGCCTCTGTGTCAATGGCCTTGTGCAGCTACCCATGCGGCTCCTGTGGGTGTGTGTGCCTTGGCAGGGGCTGTGGGGTGGGAGAAGGGGCCCTGGGTTTGTTTCTGTCTTTCTTCCTCCTCTTTTGCCCTAGGGGGCCAGCTTTCTGGAAGCCAGGATATCTGGGTTCCAGATTCTTCCCTCCCTAACCTCCCCCAGACATAAATCACAAGTGATTTCATTAAATGCACCTCCTGCTGGGGATGTTGGCTCATAATTCCTCTCTGATTAACCCCCACTACCCCAGTAAGTTTATAGGCCACGAGTGGGAGGGGGTACAGGGGAGGGGAAAAGGAGGGATGGGGGAATCCCGGGCAGGTGATGGATGCTTCTGTCAGCCCAGCTCGTATTTATTAATAGTCTTAATACGGGAAGCAATAAAGGAAGAGAGGGATTCTATTAATTAAATCATTGTTATAATTAACTTTCATTAAAGGAGGATCGATAAAGAGGAGTTGAGATGGAGAGAGGAGAGATCCATTATCTCTAATTTCCTTGGAAGGGATTCAGGGAACGAGATGAGGTTGCTAGGAGACAGCGATGTGAGGAAAGAAGGCAGGCTGTAAGATGTCATCCAGGTGGGGCTGGAAGGGGGTCGATGGGAGGGTTTCAGGTGGATAGAGGGAATGGTGGGGTGGCAGTGGCCCACCCAGGGCCCCTGAAGGGAAAAAAGGGTGGGTGATAGCGGCGCTACTGGGATGGTGAACAAGGGGGCTGTAGTCATGTGTACTGGGCACTCCTGAGAGCCTTGGTGAGCATGCAGGTCCTTAATAAATGCTTTATGATGCTGTGTCTGTCTAGCCTGTGAAGCTGGTTAGAGTGGATGAATGTGTTTTCGTGACTGAGGAGTCAGAGTGTGTGCATGGTTTGTGAGGATGGCAACAGGAGAAAGGGAGGCAGAGATGGGAAGAATGTCAAATAGTCTTTAGAAGTATGGGGTTTAGGGCATTTTTTATAAAGTGGATATGCAAAGGTGCGTACTTTTGACAGGAGTAATGCCTGTCCTTTGGCCCAAGGCACAGTGATGGCTGCTATAGAGGGTGAAGATCTGAGTGGTGGAAACCTCCCCTGCCTTCTAAGGCATGCACTTTGACCCTCTACCTTGAGTCCCACCCTGAGACTAAACCCCAAGACGTTGACCCAGTTTGCTCCCTCCCCCACCGCAGTATTCCCCAAGCCAGGCCTCCACGCGAGACAAAGACTCCTCCCTTCCCCTCTTCCCACTTGGTGGCCAGCACAGCAGGAGGCATAATGGGATAATGCCACCTGGAGCCCCCTCCCTCCCTTGCCCCTCCATCAAGGTCTAAGAGCTCGGTGTCTGGATGTTTTTTGCTCTAGTCACACCTCATAATAAGAACATTTTATTAGAAGAGTCATACATACCATATAAATATATTTGTCCAAACTACAGGTGGGGAAGGGATATTGGGGGAAAGCTCTTATTGCTATAGGGAAACCTGGAAAGGGTAGAAAGGCTTGGAAATGGGGAACCTGGGACCATTTGTTCCCCTATCCCTCACAGAAGGCACAATGCATTATTTCTTTCCATGTGAGGACACTGAAGGGTGATGGCAGTGAGGGGCAGGAGAGAGAATACAGAACACCTCAAAAATACAAAAGAAACCTCCAAACTTATTATCTAATGTTATGGAAAAAGCCTGGGTTGCGATGCAGAAGGCAATGGGAGGGCAGTAAGAGAAAGCAATGAAATGCAGAACTGGGGCCTGAGGAAGTCAAAATGTCCATGCTGCTGCCTCAATGCAGACCCCAGAAGAAACTCAGGGGAAAAAATGCAGACCCCAAATAAGAGAGGGAATTGGCGTTGGGGTATTAGACTGCGCGCACGCATGCAATGGTGGTGGCTGGTGTGACAGACAGAAGCAGCCAGGGCTGGGAGGGGCTGACTCTATTCCCCTTGGGGAAGGCCTCCTCCATCCCGGTTCCTCCAAAACCGCTGTCAAGGGGTAAATTCAGCCACTGCTTCCATGAAGGACCCCTGCCTGGACAAAAGAGCTGGGAAGGAGAGGACGAGGTTGGAGGGCTTGGGATAAAAATGGCACACAGGAGCGGTTCGTAGGGAACAGAACATCATGGAGCCCATTGTGTTGGAAAAGAGGCATGGGACCTAAATGTGTGACTATGCATGAGTGTGTACGTGTGTTAAGTGTGTGTTTGTGCTTGTACTAGGGAGAGGTGAGATCACTCAAAGGTGAAGGGGTCCTGGGTGCTGAAGAAGAAGTGTCCATCCATGTGGTCCTCCAGGGCATCCTTATCACTCTCAGCTGGGAAGCGCTCCTTACAAATAGGGCACTCCTTCCATGGTGGGGTTGCAGGGCCTCCAGTGCTGGGCTCTGACAAGGGACCCACTGCAAAGCCACTAAAGAGAAACAGAAGGGAAAGGAGGGAGTCATTGTGCTCTGTTGCCTTCTTCACTTGCAGACCTCAGGTAGAGGGAACCATGCACCCAAGTCCCTGGATTCCTCTGTCCCTAATATAGCATCCTGGAAGTTCTGTCTCTTAGCTTCTTCCTCAGCATCTTTCTCCCTACAATGCTGGAGGCCTTAGTTTCCCAGATCCCTGTGGCCTCCTTCTTTAGTCCCTCCTGGTCCCTATAGTGCAGAGCCCATCCCCCAACCTCCTGCTCTCCTCCCTCCATCTCTGTCTGCTGCCTAATGAGGCTGAAAATGAGTCTGACATCGTCCTTCATCTTCCTGCTCCAGCCAAGAAAGATGACAGTATCACCCCCACCCTGCCCTGAGCCCATCTCACATCCAGGCAAAGCTGGGGACTAGGTGATAAAATCTCTCTTCCCTCTGCCTTCCCCTCTTGACCTGCAGAAGAAAAGGAAGGCACAGAGGGCAATCTGATACCTGAACCTCCCACCCCTGGGGCTTCCCCACTCTAAGGGTCCCCCAAGGAAGTCAGGAAAGACAGCATCTCAGGGTGGCCAGATGGATGCTGGATCCCAGTCTCCTCTCCGTTTTTGTCCCTGGGGGCTTGGTCGCCTACTTCCCTTCCTCCCCCAATGAGCTAGGTACCTACCTGGTAGCTGGGGAAGGGGTAGGGGCAGGAGAGAGGGGGTGCAAGACAATTTGGGCTCCACGGAAGATGGTGCTAGAACAACACAGAAGCCAGTTAAAGGCAGGGTTTCTGAGTGCACGTGTGTTGATAAGCCGAGGGAGGGGATAACCTAAAGGCACCTGGGATTTAGGGTGGTGGGTAATTTTGCGTCAATCACAAAAGGAGACCTATGTCTCCTTTTCTTGGCTAGGGCCAAGAAGAGATAGGTTGCAGGAAGGGCAGAGACACTGTTCGCCTGGATACCTTTTCTGCTGGCATCTTCCCACCTCCCTCCTGTCCTCCCCTTTTTGTGCTCACCTGGCCATGTCATAGAAGGCATTGCCCAGTTCAGGAAGCAGCAGGTTGGCCTCTTCACCCCCACTCTGCACAGCTGCCATCAGGACTGACTTCTCATCTTCAGCCTCCTGGGCACCGAAGAGATAGGTGGGTTTTGGGGTAGTATTCAGAGATGGGGGAGTAGCATGTTGGGACAGGAAAAGGAAGGGCAGTCCAGGTGGAATGGGGAACAGAGGGCTATAGTAAGAGTAGGGGCAGGAACAGTGTTTTGAAGGGAATTGGTGGAAAGGAAGAGAGTATGGGGAATAAGGGTGAGCAGTAGTGAGGCTGTTGGATCAGACTGGGTTTTGGGGAAGTGTCCATTGGGTGGCTCTGAAGAGAGGTTGGGCCTGCCTCCTCTCTCCCAAGGAAAAATGAGAGCCTCATATGTCTAAGTCTTTCTGCTCTGGAGACTGGACCACTTGAGCTTGGCCCTACCCCTTCCTCCCTGCCCCTGCTCGGTCTTTCCTCAGTGCTCACCGAGTCAGAGCTACTGTCCTCAGCTGGCCCTGAGAGGTGGGGAGCAATGGGAGCTGGTTGGCTGATGACGACTAGGGGAGAAGCCTCTCGTGGCCCGGCAGGAGAGGAGCCTGGGTCTCCATGCTCACACAGGCCATAGGGTGGGAGCCTCATGTCTTCTGGAGACTCATCCTCTGAGTCTGTCAGAGCTGCTGGGCAGCCTGTAGGAGCGAGTAGGCAAAGAAAAAAGAATATGTTGTTAGAGGGATGGATCTGGCTCTGACTCCTTTGGATAAAGGATACAGTTAAATTAGACAGAGGCCAGAGTCTGGGAAGTAAAAAGGCAAAACACAGAAGGCAGAGGCAGCTCCCAGAGGGGTCACATGGAGCTTTTCCCAAAAGGAAAAGGCAGGGCGGGAAAGAGGTGTCACAAGATTGGGGGTGTACAGACTCAGCCCTGCAGCTGCCTCCTCATCCTCCGTGGCAGCGTCCTCATTCCACTTCTCATCTGCCACTTTCTCAAGGCGGGCCTCCAGCTTTCTCATGTACTCTAGCAGTTCCTGGTGTTGGGGAGGAAAGACGTGCAAGTGGCTGGGAAGATGCCGACCTGGCTGACCTATAGAACCTTCTCATATTCAAGATGAACTCCGAGCTCCTGAGAATTCGACACTTCACCAAAGGTGGAGCAGCCTGAGATAGATCCTCACCTCCCCCTCCCAAGGGCCCTCCTTCATCCCCTACATTCCTCCCTTCCGCCAGCAATCATCCCATCCTGCCAAATCAGCTGATCATAGTCCCAGTTTTAGCCTCTGGGCCCTCATAGAGATACCAGTTTCTAATCCAAGAGATGACAAGAAGCCACAACGTTTCTAGCCCTCAGTTCTGGTGACCATAGGGGCCCCGAGTTACAGGCTCTTACCTGCTTCTCTTCCTGCAGTTGCTCCTTTTCCTTCTGGAGCACACGCAAGGCTGACCGCAGCTCTGTCAGCTCTCGCTTACTCTCTGACAACTGCACCTGAGGAAAAAGGGCCAAATAGAATTCGGAGCCTAGAATGTACCTCAAAAAACCTGGACGCTGGGACCTCACCCCAACAATCTAGAATCATGTCTCTCTGTGCCTTCCTTCTTCCCTTGCCCCAACACTTTTCCATGAGCCCCTTTTCTTGCCACAGGAAATTCAGTCTCTGCTTCTTGAGTGTGTACCTGGATGACCTGGGCTAGGCTTCTGGGGCATAGCAGGGGCACTCTATAATTATTTTAAGTCATCACTACTAGGCCCAGAATGTGTGCCCTGAGAGCAGAAAAGGACACTGTATATTTCAAATCAATGAGTCCTGGGAGGTGTGCAAGTGAGAATGCCACCAACATGTAAGTGAGCATCATACACTTCTGAGCTCACACTTCAGAGAGAGGGAAGGGCACTGGCCTTACGAGGCTATAGGACCAGGGCTCACGGGTCGCTGGGTGCCTTACCAGGCTAGAATCCTTTTCCTGCGCCAGTTCAGTCTTGAGCACTTGATTCTGGGTCCTCTCCTCCTGAACTGCCTTTTCTAGCCGAAGTATCTCTGCACTCAGCTTCAGGATCTTGTCCTTCTCTGTCTGGGAGTTGGCCAGAAGGGAAAATGGGAGGGTGAGGGAAAAGGGACGCCATTGGCAATGTCACCATCCCTCACTGTGATACTTTATTTAACTCAATCTTTTGGGAGCAATTTCCCCTTCTTGCCTTCCTCATTCCCCCTAACCTGTGAATGAAGGAAGGGGCCTGAAGGCAAGGCATCTTGCTAGTGGTCAGTAATGGGCAGTAATGGTGCCTAGGACGGTAAATGTTTCTGAATCAAGATGGTAACCAAGGAAGCTGCTATGGAGATCAGGGTTGGGAACACTCTATTTAGGGATGGGTCTGCCTGGACATGAAGTGTTCCTCCCTTACAGCCCCTCCCTACCCCTAAGTTCTGAGGTTTCCATTCCTCCCTTTCTCTCCTCCTAGGAGATCTGACCACACGGAGGAGGGGGGCAGTGGCCGTGTGCCTGCCAGGTCCCCCCAACCCTCTACCTCAATACTCTGCTGCATCCCTGCCCGCTCCTTGCTCCACTGGCTTTTTTCCTCCTTCAAGTGCAGACTGAGCTCAGCCAGCCTGCCATTGACTCCAGCCACTTCCAGGCGGCTGCGGTGTAGCTCGGCTATGGTGCGGTCCCTGGCTCCAGCTGCGCTGGCCAACTCCTCCCCAAGAAGGGCAGCTTTTTGCTGGCTTGAGGCTGCAAGCTCCTGGGCCCCTCGAAGCTGTTCCTTCAGGGGCTCCAGCTCAGCCTCAGAAGAAAGGAAGAGATGGAGATTAGGGCTCCCAGTGAGTCACTATGAACCGAGAAGGTAGTAACCAGACTCCCTCCTCCCCACACTGCCTTAGGACTCAGGATTGGGTTGTTCAGTCTTTAGTCATGTCTTTCCTCAGACTTTTCTACAATTAGTCCTTGGAACTTTCTCTACTTCTTGTTGCCTAAGGGCTTCACTCACCAGCCGCTGCTGAGCCTGGCCTAGGGTGTCCTTCATCTGAGCCACCTTGTCTTTCAGACGCTGGGTCTGAGCACCCTGCTCCTCCTGCCGGCCCTTGGCCTCCTGCAGCTCCAAATTCAAGCGACGATTCTCCTGTTGTGCCATTTGAAGTTCAGCCTGACAGAGGTGGAGAGTAGGTAAGGAAAGTGGTATGTGTATTTGGGGTGGCTGGAGAGGTGAACCATTGTGATAAGAGAGGTCAAGGTTCCACTTCTCAGATTTAACACAAACTCAAGCATTCAGCTCTTGCCAGCCATTCTTGGGACTCTCAGCTCAAAGCAACTCAATCCTGAACATCCAGTCTCCAGCTCCCAAAGTGAGATATCCAGGGTCACAACCTGGGTCTTACATAAATCCAGATAATCCCATGTCCCATTTCTGCTTCCCCACTTTTTCTTTTTTAAATACTTTATTTAAGACAGAGGGAAAGGGAGGGAGAGAGGGAGAGAAACATCAGTGTATGATTGCTTCTTGCATATCCCCTACTGGGGACCTGGCTTGCAACCCAGGCATGTTGCCCTGACTGGGAATTGAACTGGCAACCCTTTGGTTCTCAGACCTGGTGGTCAATCCCCTGAGCCACACTGGGCAGGGCTCCACTTTTTCTTTTAAGTCAAAACTCAGTCTAGGTGTCTTCCAGGCCCTGAAAACTCAGTATATTCTACTTCCCATTCTACTCTAGGTCTTTCCACTTTTTTTTTCTGTCCATGGTTCAAACTAATTCCCAAGTCATTCAAGCTGGATACCTTGATGCCATGTTTGACTCTGTTTTCTCCCTAGCACCCTACAGAAAAGCCTATTGTTTCTCCATCCTCTATTTTGTTCACAGCTATTTTCTCTTTTCTACTATTGCCACAATCAGGTTAGCTCAGGCTCTGGTCATTTCTTGCCTGGACTACTGAAAAAACCTTACAATTAGCTCATTCCCCCACAAGGCAATCAGATTAATCTTCTTTGAGTACACATCCCCTACTTGAAAATCATCAGTGCCTCTCACTGCTTACAGAATAAAGGTTAAACTCAAGACTGTCTACAATCTGACCAGGGCTTATCTCAAACTCTTGACCCACACATTCAGCTGCCCTAAGTGTTCTGGACTCTAAGCCTTTGCTTATGTTTTCATCTGTTCCTAGAATGGTCTCCCTTTACTTCTGTCTACTCAAATTCTACCTATTCTTCACTGCTGAGCAAGTTTTCAAACAATTTCCCACAGAAGCTAGGATTCTGAGGAAGCTATTTAGAGATTCTGCAAATACTGATATAAACTTCAAATATGTAAAAATTATGTGCAAAATGCACAAACTCACAGGGTTAACACACTGGAGATCAAAACTGTTATCAATTTGCACCTACTTGTGTATGACTCAAGGTGTTCTCAATATTGTACAACTAAAACAAAATACAGAACTACATTAGTCGTTCTAACGAGGCTGACAGAACAGTCATCCATAACCTCCAATTTCAAAGTGCGGTAGCCACCAAAATTACCTAATTGCTTTCATTACCTTATATGTAAATGCTCTACATTTGAACTTATAAAAATAAATTTATAATAAAATATTGCTTTTATTTATTCAGTGAGGATCCACTTAAGATGTAAAACTTTGCTGGAGGATAGCGCAGAAAGGGTTCTGCTGCTAAAGAAGTTTAGAAATACTAAGCTAGTTTATGCCCCACTTTTAAAAGTCCTGTCTAATGTCCCTAACAAGATGCGCTCCCATTCACCTCTGTGGAATATCGTAATGTTATTACACTTCTCTGTTGATACCTGTTATATCCCCTTTGACTAATCCTGATTTATATGTATGACTTAATGTTCCCTAGGAGAGTATATACAATGTTTCTTCATATTTTTATCCCCTTTTGTGCCCAGCACTCAGAAGGGACTCAATAAACACTGGATGAACAATTGAGAAAATAAACGAACCCTGAGCCCTTACCTCGCTTTGCTCCTTGTCTGCTTGCACTTCCTTTAGTTGCCCAAGAAGCTTCTCTTGTTCCCGAGTTAGGGCCTTTACTGTGTCTCTAACCCTGTAAATGGGGGGACGGAATGTCGGATAACTGACTGGTCACCAGAGAATGCATGAAAGGCTTGAACTCCGTATTGTGCTCTTCTACCAGTGTTCCTCGAGGCCCAGACCTCCACTTCTCTCTGGGATGTGCAAATTCCAAAGCCAGGTTCTAAGCCCCAAGTACCCAGAACTCCAGGGGTCCAAATCAGGGCCAAAAGGTGGAAGTTATAGGATGGTAGCTTGGATCAACACAAGAGATATAAAAATGACAGCTGTCTGATAGTGCAATGACAGGCTGCCTTCTGAGGTGGTGATCTTCCCTTGCGTACCTTCTTACATACCCTACATACATTTCTCCCAATGTTAAAAATCAATGGTTTATTCTTTTTTCAGGGGAGAGTTTTCACAACATTCATGGATCACCAGTTCTAACATTTCCTAATAGTTAAAACAAAGTCTAATCTTATTCCTTGCTGTGGTAAAATCTGAAATCCATCCTCTCTTATCTTGTGTTGACTATTCTATCCATTCTCTTTTTTCAAGTCCTCTTCTCCTAGCTCCTGCTTAGCATTTGCTCCACATTAAACGTGTAACTGCAATTACTTCTGAAGGTGAGAAATACAGAGTAAGGAATGAGAGTGAGGGAAGAAAACAATATCCTCAGTAATTGAAACACCCTAAATGAGGTTGAGAAAGGAAAGAGAAACCACCTGAGATAGAGAGCAGGCTTGCCTGCCTGAAACAGGAGGCTGGAGTTCCAGGGTCACCGGAAATGACGGGAAGTAATGTGGTAGAGGAGGTCCCCTCACCTGTCCAGCTCAACCTCCTTTGTCAGCACTTTCTCACTGATGATCTGGATGTCATCTTCCAGTTCCAAGATGTGTGCCACGTGGTCTCCCTGTTGCCGGCTCAAGATATCCCTCTCTTCTGTGAGTTCCCCATGGGACCGGGAAAGCCCCTGCAATTAAGTTTCCCCAGAAGAAGCTGAGACTCATCTCAAAGACTGGAGCAAAGGCTTCGGAGGAGCATACCAGAGTTTGTTCCCACCCCCATGCCTAGTAACCTTCCTTGAAAAAGAAACTAAGAGAAAATTCCCTTAACAGTGAATACAGCCATCTCCACCCTAGCTCAGCATACAAATCTGAGACATGTTTATCATATTAAGTTTAATCCTGCTTGTTAAACCTTAAACCTACTTCTTTGATGTCAGAACCATCTTAAACACCCACTAACATCTCCCCTTCCCCCCTTCACTGGGTTCAGATTTTGGGTGAGCGGCCAGGCCCCGTCCCGCCCCCAGCCCAAATCCCACCTTGTATTGCTCTGTCAGCTCTGCGTGTTCTTGCCTGGCAGTTGCCAGAGCTGTTTCGAGCTCCTGTACTCGGCTCCTCAGCTCTGTGACCTGCCCCTCCAGCTGCAGTTTCAGCTGCATCAGGTCATTCCTCTCTTGCTGGCTCTCATCCAGCTGATTCTACAGGGGGCAGAATAAGAAGGGGGTGTCATTGTGAAGCACCCATTCCAAGGTCCATTGCCAACACTCTGCAGATGCATTTCAGGGTTGGGAAGTTACATCAGCAACAGGATACAAAGAAGTGAGCTGGTGTGCTACTGAAGCTAGCCTACCACCCACCAGACACCAGCTCCTGGAACACTTAACTGCCCAGTCCTCTTTTACGTCTTCCTGCTGGCAGGCTGACCCCTCCTTGGCTTGGCAACTGCAGGACTCCCTCGTCTGGTAGAAGTCTTTCTCAATCACATAGACAAAAAGAGATTTCTCCCCTAATTTTAACATACTGGCTCTGGAGTCAGACACTGGGTTTAAATCTCTAATACAATTTTTATGAGCTATATAACTCTGAACAAGTGACTAAACTTCTCTGAATCTCTGTGTCCTCATCTGTGAAGCGATCCCTTAGTGTGGGTTGGTCTAAGATAATTGTAATGATGAATGTAAAAACAGAACATGGTGTAGGAGCTTACACATTTCTGACTAATGTTAAGATATAAACATCTTCTTTCTATTCTTGTGTTCATACCATGTGTTTAGAGGGTTCTAGAGTGCTGGAGTTTATCTAAATCAAAGACAATCTACGCATTCTCTTCTTCTAAACCTTCCTCGGGCCTGTCTTCTGGTCTGGGGACTGTACTTCCTCCCCATGTAGCCTTAGTCTTTATCTTTCTTCAGGAAGTCTTCCTTGCTAACATCTGCCTTTACTCCTCAATTCTTCTCTATTTTGTCCAATAGAAAAGTAATACAAGCCACAAATATAATTTAAAATTTTCTAGTAGACACTTAACAAAAGTACTAATAAGAAACACGTGAAATTAATTTCAACAATATTTTATCTAACTCAGTCTATCCAAAACATTATTTCAAAATGTTATCAATATAAAAAATTATGTAAATCTTTTACACTTTTTTTTTTTAATAGTAGGTCTTCAGAATCTGGTAAGTAGTTTACTCACACAGTATATTTCAATTTGAACCAGTCACACTTCAGGTGCTCAAGAGCCACATGTGGGTAGTGCCTCCAGTATCTGATGGTGCAAGTTTAGGGCCACACCTATCTGTCTTCACTCCTCACCTGTCCTGGAAGTGGGTCTCATCCTCCTCAGGTCAATTATTTCCCTGGAGTGGCCTCCCTCTACCCTTTGCATCTTCTTCTAGGGTCTAGAGCAGGATGTAACACTTGAAAAAGGAACACTCAAAAAGTTCTTATGAAATCTTCAGTAATGTTGGTTTGTGGAGGCTTGCTTCCCTGCCCTACATGTTTGTCTCTCTCTAGGTTAGACTGAGACTTTCTTGAAGGTAAGACTTTGTGTAAGTCCCAGTGAGGTCTCCAGTTGAAGCTACAGCTGAGGGGAGGGTACAGTGGGAAGGGGCCCCTTGCAATGCTTTCCTCCCACTCCTGTGCCCAGGAGCAGCTCTGTTCTCACCTGCAGCACAGTTGCCTTGGGGACAACCAGCAGGATGTCAGAGCCACCATCAGTCTCCTCGAGAGTCACCAGTTCATCCATGGGCCTTGGCTCTCGGAACTGAAAAGGGGGGCTCTGCCCACACACCCGGCCCTGGCGATTCACGTATCGGAACTGGTAGAGCTGGGCTCCCGGTTTGGGCAGGTAGCTGGCTGTGGGGAGAAGAATGGACCCAGGAGCCCAGTATGATCCCAGGCCCTCCAGTGCTCAGCTGGTCCCCTCAGGGTACTTTACTATCCGCTCTCTTTGACTCTGGCCCTTGCTCACCATATTCCATTTTCTCTCCTCTCCACCTTCCATAGACTATTTCTGTTCCTTGGGATACTCTTCTCCCTCCTTTATGCCTGCTCTTTTCCTTCTTCTCTTTTTTAATCCTGTCCTCTTCAGTAATAATGATGATCATGATGATGATGATGATAGTTACTATTTATTGTGTGCCCACCATATATGAGGCACTGTGCTAACTATATCATTCCCTATATCATTTAAAATCCTTTTACTGTCCCTATAAACCAGGTATCCGTATCCCCTTTTAATGTTAAGGTAACAGACACACAGAGGTTTAGTAATTTGCCCAGTGTCAAACAGATTATAAGGATTAGAGCTGGTATTTGAACCCAGGTCTCTCAGAATCTAATGACCACCTTCTTCTCAAAATATGACACCACCTTTCCCTCTTCCTTACCCCCTAGTTCCTCCTTCTTTTGAAAGGAGGTGGGATTAGTTGCACTCTAAAGTTTCTTCCACCTCTTAATCTTTGATTCTGTGATAACCCCATGTCTGCTGAGCCTGTTAGATATATTTCTTATTTTATTTACTTGCACTTATTTTTCCTTGTTCTCTGTGCCTTTTACGTTTCTGCGCTTTCTTTTTCCAAACCTCTGTTCCTTTGACTTCTCCCTCCTGGTTCTCTATCTCCCCTTGTACCTTGGAACTGGACACTAGCATGGACAGGGGAACCATCAGCGGCACTTTCAGGCACCGAAGACCACACAAATGTGTGGTAATCCCGAACACAGGCAGCCTCCACCTGTGAAAGTCCAAGAAGAGAGAGGGGTATGGTGATAGAACTACCAGCTGTAGATGGTAGAAAGGACTGAGGAATTGAATGGGAGGAGAGATAGGATGGTGTTAGTGTCAAGGATAATGAGAGACAGGAAAGTGGCGGGACACTAATGTGTTAAAAGAGAGCAAGGCTAAGATGCAGAGAAGATAAGCCTTGCTTGTATAGTTGGCCTCTGCAATGTGTGACATCTTTTCCCCTTCTTTATCAACATGACGTTGACAATACAAGAACCCCACCATTCTCCTTATTCCAACCAACACATGGCACATAAATCTGAGCCCAAAGGGGTTCCAGGTATACCTTGAAGATGCCAATCCAGTCACTGGCACTGGGCACGGTGCCTGGGGGAAGGGTATAATGACACTCCACCTTGGTGTTGGGGATGTAGGTCCGGGCCACATTCAGAAAGCTGACTCCACCCCGAGATGGTGCCCGGCTTACTGACGATTCTTCCATTCTTCCCTTTAAGTATGTGCCCTCCTATGAAACAAAGGGTTAATATCCTAAAGTCTCTCCACTTCATTTTTCCTCCTCAGCTCCCCCTCCCTCTACCCACAACCACTGCCACCATACCTGGAGATGAAAGTCATGTTTAGTAGCCAGTCCCTGAGGGTTACAGGACCCTTTTAAAGGTGTCAATCTTAGTCTGCAGGACATAAGTCTGGCCTTCCATGTCACTACCAGTCCTGTCTCACACTATATCCTCTCTAAGCCATAAACTCTTCCTAGAGTTAAGATCTCTAATTTCTGCTCCCTGTTCATTGCCCAACTAATCAATGGGGCAATGTATTCCAGTCTCTGTCCTCCTCAGTTCCTCCTTTTCCACCTCTTAACATCCTTGAGGATTCCAAATTCTTCAGCCTCCATGTCTACATCCCATTTCCCGTATCTTCTGTCTCTTAAATTAAAAAATCCAACTGAGGCTTTGGCTGGTGTGACTCAGTTAGTTGGGCATCATCCCACAAACCAAAGGGTCACAGGTTTGATTCCTGGTTGGGGCCTGTACTCAGGTTGAGGGTTTGTCACTGGTTGGAGCGCCTACAAAAGGCAACCAATCCATGTTTCTCTCCCACATCAATGTTTCTCTCCTTCTTTTTCTCCCTCCCTTCCCCTCTCTCTAATAAGTAAGTAAATAAGTAAATAAATAAAAAACCAACTCCCCCCCGCAAAAAAAAACCCATGTACTTGGGAGAGAATTAAAAAATAATCCAACTGAGGTGTGGGGCCCCCTCATTCTGAGCAGGTCTTTTTATTCCCTCCTGAGCTTGTCGACCCAACTGTACACAGGAATGACTGTGGCACCCGAAAACTGCAACTAATCTCTGAAAGTAATGCTTGCATCTACAGGGCTAAAATATGGCTGGGGCAGGGCAGTAGCCCAATCCTCAGGCTCCTGAGCTCACATTCTCTCCCCTTCTCTGAGCTGTCTAAATCCATGAGTTTAAAAACAAAAACAAACAAACAAAAAAAACCCTCCCACTCTCATCTAAGAGACAAAAGGAAAGGGACAATATAAGGAAATACAGGTTCTGTCCTCAACTTCATTATTCCAGGAAGTCAAGAATTCTGGAGGCGGCAGCTACAGGACAAGGGTGGAGTGAAACACTCAACAGGAACGTGGTGGTGTGGGGAGATGGAATGTGGGGGCCTGGAGCCAGGAAAGCCCCACCCCTGGGCAGAGGACAGACTGGAAGGTAGGAAGTAAGAAGCCCCAAGAGGAGAAAATGTACATTGAAGGCACACTATAGGATGAATAGAGAGGAAGAGGTGTCCCAAGTTAGGTGGGGAGAGGTAATAGGAAAATATGGGGGTGGGTTGAGGAAAGATAATAATAAGAATCAAGAGAGCTCCTCAGCCCAGGGCTGAGAGATGGCCCTCCTTATCCCTCCTCTCTAGCCCACAAATCTTCACCCCCTATCAGTCACAGCTGACTGCCTCGAATCAGCCATAGCCACTAGTCATGCGCACCCCTCCCCCAGACATCACAAACCCTCACCGGGCTGAAGTAAGGGGGCTAGGAACTTTAACAGGAGGAAAGGTGGGCCAGCTCTACAAAAGGAGGAACTTTTACTTCCAAAATAGAGACTAAATTGAGGAAAAGAGTTCTTTGGATTTTCATCTCTTAAAAATCCCTAGTTAAAACTAGTCCATATGTTTTCTCCAAATACAATTCTCTGGCTTTCCAAGGGGGAATAAATTATCCCAAAAATCTAAGCCTGGGAAATCCCAAATACTTGCCACAAATAACATCCCTAGCAGATGGAAACATTCCACAGGCCTGAAAGAGCTCTGGGCACCTAAGGTGTATGTGTATTGCCAGATCGAGGTGTCTGCATGTGGGGTACCATCACCCCACTCTGTAGGGCTATAAAGTTCCTTGACATTCTACACCTTGGAAGGTTTTCCCTCAGCGAGTCAACGTAGTAAGGGCCTTTGGATTGGTGAGGGCTGTGGAGGTGGTAAAGGGAAAAGGGAAGGTTTGGGAGGGCCAACTCTTACATGGGGGAGAATGAGCAAAGATTTCAGCCTCCCACCTCCAAAATCCCTTACGCGTATCAAGCATCTTACAGAAGGACAGAGAGGAAGGTGAGAACAGTGAGGGGGCACCGCTTTGATCAGCTGTCCCTTGAGACCAAAACTCCCAAAACAGTGGGGGTGGCTTCTCCAGTACGGAAAGTGTTAAAACCCAAACGCTCCTGCATGTCCTTTCTGCAGTCCCCTTAGCTCATCCTTTCACATACTGGAAAGTGGGGTGGCTCCCCATAAGATTCCCCAAATTAGGCCAAGTTTCTTACCCCACAGACGGATCAGCTGTTTCCTCACCTTTCACCAACAACAAAAACAGCACTCCGACACCGAGAGGGGCGGGAGAAGAGTGAGCGCGAGGACTTCTGGGGTTTGTGGTTCCTCCGTGGCCTTTTGCTGGTGAGTAGGCTTGGATCTAGGACTACACAACCCAAGGGGCTGTGCGCAAGGAGGGCGGAGTAGAGGGCGGTCGTGGAGGCGGCCTCACCACTGCGTCCTGGGCGACGTAGTTCTCACGTACAAGACAACAAACGAGGGTGTGGCCATCAAAGGACTTCACGGCCCAGGATTCCTTAGGAGAGGGCAGGCTGTATTAGTGGTCCTGCTGGTTTGTACCGTGTGTGGTTGAGGGGTGGGGAGGAGTTATGGCTTTAAAGCCCACTTTGTAATACTTTACAGTGGGCCGAACAAGTTCAGATACTTTGTCTCGTTTACTTTTACCAACAACCTGTGAGATAGATAGTATTGTTTTCCATACTCTACAGTGGAGGAAACTGAAGCTCAGGACGGTTAAGGAACTGGTTTAAAATATCAGTTATGAGATGGTAGAACACCAGGATTGTATGACTCCGTAAGTGCAGTGCTCTCGCCACTACCTCACAGCTGCCTGCCATTTTAGGGATGGAAACTAATAGCTGTGCTAGCGGTTTCTTCTTTGCTTCAGCCTTAGGGACAGCCCCTGTAAAAAGTACGTTTTGTTTTTTGTTTTTCCAACTTGAGGGTTTCAGTGCCGGGCAGGTCAATACTCACACTCCTGGACTGGGTTCCCCTAATGTGACCTCTGGGTTTAGGAAGAAGATCCATTGCCTGAGGGGGCGTAGGTGGGGGTTCGGGAGGAGGAAGGTGAAATAGAAGAATGAAGTTGGAAAGGGAGCCTGGCAGAAGGTACGCCTGGTCACGACTCACAAACAAGCCACTCACAGGGGCCAGTTTGCCCAAGCCGTTTAACTGGCTTAAATTAATCAGGATAACAATACATGTTGTTGCTCCTGTTTTTATTTAGGGAAGGTGAAAGAGTCGCACTTCTCCCACAACTCTAAGTCACATCGAAGACTTGGGCATCCTGCCCTCCTCCTGGTCCTGGACTCCCCAAGTAGTCTGAGCCATTTTAAATGTCCTCTCTTTTCATCTTCGTATTAGGGGATTGCAGTCTAAGGGTTGATGTGCCCTGCCTGGGTTCCTGCTTTTCCTAAGGTTTTTGTAGTATTTTGCTTTTATGATTGAATAGAGTGTCTGGTGCCTACTCTTGGGTGTCTTTCATGTGAAGATCTCCAAGCACTTAACTATAAGTCACTGGGCTTCACAAACACTAAGGAGACACATCTGTGTAATTACTCAGGATTTATGAGTTACAAACTACCAGATGAGCTCAAGGTCCTGGGGTAAGTTAAGCGTGAGGCCAAAAACAAAAAACATGCAAAAAAAAAAAAAAAAAGGAAAGAAAGAGAGAGAGAGAGAGAGAGAGAGAGAGAGAGAGAAAGGAAGGAAGGAAGGAAGGAAGGAAGGAAAGAAAAAGAAAGAAAGAAAAAGAAAAGAAAGAAAGGAGTACAGCCTGTTCAGGCACCAAAGTGCCAAGTGTTCTTGGTTTATGTCTTATACACAGAATAAATGCTTGGAAGAAAACTCCGTCCCAGTTTCAGCTGTAGCTAAAAATAATACTAGCTTCTATTTATTGGGTGCTTAGGATATGTTTAAACTATGCTAAGAGCTTTTCTGTTTAAAACAGTAATAGCCTTAAATAGCAGTCCCCCCAATCTCCCATTTTACATATGATAAAGACAGAGGCACAGGTAATTAAGTGATTTACCTAGGGTCATCCATCTGGTAAGTGGCAAGATCGAGTAGTCAGCAGACCATAGTAGTCAGTAGTCAGTACACCATACTCCCACCCTACAAACTCTTGGTATATGACACTTAATCCCATTGTTCTAAGGAAATGAACTGTACTGTTATTTAATCAGGGAACAAATGTTCACTGAGTATTTATGTGCAAGACATTAGGTGATGTGAAACATTCATTTGACAAATATATGTCAGGTACTATGCTAGGTATTCATTAAATTTTGTTGAAAGAATGAAGATATGAATATTTGGAGGATGGATTGGATTTGGATAGTTTGGCAGGACAAGGTCAGGAAGGATGAGTTTATTCCAGGCTGAAGCAAAGATTCAGAGGTGGGAATGTGTAATGTTTACTGGAGTCTAGGAGGTCACATAAGAAGAGCACATCAGGGCCAAGGCTAGGTAGCTCGGTTAGAGTGTTGCCAACGTTGAGGATTTGATCTCCACTCGGCCCATACAAGAAGCAACCAGTGAATGCATAAATAAGTGGAACAACTAAATTGATGTTTCTTTCTCTCCCTTCTCTCTAAAATCAATAAATAAAATTTTTTAAAAAGAACACATCAATTTTAATTTGTTTTTCAGACTCAGATTATTGGTAATGTCTGCCTGAAATGTTGTATTGAAAAGTTTTGGGAGAAAAGAGTTCTGGGATTAATTAGTAATGTCTGTCTGGGAGCTTTACAAACATAACAGAAGCAGCTGGTATATCAGTTATTGTAGGCTGTTACTTAGTGTTTCCAAACTATGGACTCTGTGGGAAGGAGGTGTCATAGTCTATTTAGGCTGCTGTAACAAAACACCATAGGCTGGGTGGCATAAACAACAGGAATTTATTTCTCACATTTCTGGAGGCTTGGAAGTCCAAGATCAAGGTGCTGGCTGATTTAATTTCTTGATGAGGACTTGTTTCCTGACTTGTAGAGAGCTAACTTCTTGCTGTGTCCTCCCATGGAGGAGAGTGAGAAAAAGCAACATCTCTGGGCTCTTCTTTTAAGGGCATTAATTCTATCATGAAGAATCCCATCCTTATTAAACCTCACCTAAACCTCATTACCTTCCAAAGGTACCATCTCCAAATGCCACCACATTGTGGTTTAGGACTGCAACACATGTTCAGCTCATAACAGTAGGAAAAACATTAACATACTTTTAGGGCAAAGTCTGATTGTTTTGGACTTTTCTTTAGGGCCTATCTCCCATTTTCTTTTGTCCTCTTAGTTCTTTGGCTCCATGGGCTGGGTGGAAGGGTAGATTAGGGTTCTCTGTAATACTCAGGTCCTGCAGCTCCAGCATCACTCCATTGACCCACAAACCTACTCTAATCTCAAAGTGTTCATATTGTCTCAGTCCTTCCTTTATCAGTGGGGAGTAAAATGTGGCTCTGAGAAACCCTCCACTCATTTATTCATATTCATTCATTCATATTTATTAAAATTTTTTCTAAAGTTAAATTTATTATGGTGACATTTGTTAATAAGATTTTATGTTTCAAGTGTACAATTCTATAATACAACATCTGTATATTGCATTGTGTGCTCATCACCAAAGTGAAGTCTCCTTTTGTTATCCTGTATTTGACCTCCTTTACCCTCTTCAATCTCCTCCTACCCTCCTCAAAAGATTTTTCATAAGCATTGTGTGTCAGCTGCTGAAATAATAGCCTTTCTGCTTTCAAAAGTCTTTTACATTTTTGGACTTTCTTGATCCTCACAACCAATACTATGAAATGGGTCATATTATTGTTATGTAATTTTTATCAGAAGCCAAGGCTAAGACATGTTAAATAACTTGACCAAAGTCACACAACAAGTATGGGATTCAAATAAAGAATTTCTGACTCCCAAGTGCTCCCCTCGGCCTCTGTATCCAGCCCAGTTCAAATTCTACAGTGCCTCAAACTTGGTTTCCTGCCATTTTGGCCTTATTGTTTTGATTCCTGTGTTGTTAGGGTAGATATAACAGCTGTAACAGACAACCCCCAGGTCTCAGTGTATTTTTTTTAAAAGAGTTTGTTTATTTGTTTGTTTGTTTATAGGGGAAGGGAGGGAGTATAAGAGAGAAACATTGATGTATGAGAGAAACATTGATCAATTGCATCTCACATATGCCCCAACCAGTCATCAGCCTGCACAACCCAGGCATGTGCCCTGAGTGGAATCGAACCAGCAACCTTTCGCCTTGTGGGATGGCGCTCAACCAACTGAGCCATTCTGGTCAGGGCTGGATCTCAGTGTATTGACATAAAAGATTTATATATTTCATAGTCCAATGTGGGTATCTGTGGTCAGGTAAATCAGGAATCCAGATCTGTTCATGCTGTGTATCTGCCACCTTAAATATGTGGCTTCAGGTTGTTCAGGTGTCATCCTGCCAAGAAAAGGGAAGAGCAAGCAGGTGGAGAAGGCACAACCACTCTTTTAACTTCCTCAGCCAGGAAGTAGCATATCACTTCCGTTTATATTCCATTGCTCATCACCAGTTAATAAGACCTCACCTCACTGCAAAGGGGCTGGAGGTTGGGTTTAGTCATGCGTATATGTCACTCTCTATCAACATGGAGTTGAGTCAGTGTTCTAGAGTTAACAAAATTGTCCTGGGACAGAAGATGCCTCTGAAGAGAATGATTCGAGTCTGCCCATATGTTCATACCCCTATTTGTACCTCGTTCATTCCACTGGAATTCACAAAGCACCAACATTGTGAACTACTCATAGTCAAAGATCTCCTAGCTGAAGAACAGATCAGAGCCCAGACAACTAAAGCATTGGTAGGGCATCAGCCCACAGGCTGATTGGTGATGGAAGTAGTCTTTTCCCCTCAAGAGAGTGTTATTCCTATAGTTTATTTTTATATTGTATCAAAAAGTTTGAAAATTTTTACACTACCACAAAATAAACAGAGCTGTGTTGTATTCACAATTTTAGTAGTTGATTTCAGGTACTTGACAGTTCTATCACCTTTCAAAATACTTCTCTCTGGGAAACTGTGTGAGTGGGCATGTCTCCTAAGCTTTTGGGCCTCCCAGGTGCCACGAGAATAAAGAGGGTTAACCCTGGAGCCTGGAAAAGCAATAAGAAGGCAGCTTAGTCATCTGCTGAGAAATGACTGTCATCCTCTACAGAAAATGGAGTGATGTGGATAAATAGGCTCAAGAGATATTTAGGAGGTAGTATGGGCAGGGTGTGGTGGGGGGTGGTGGTGAATAAAGCAGGACGTTTTG